AGGAGGAGGGGGAAGGGAGGGGGGAGGGAGGAACTCAGTGCCAGATGGAGAGACCTGCCAGCCTAGTCAGCTTCAGAGGTGGGTGGCTTGGGGTGGGAAGAGGCGGTCAAGTAGGATTTCCTTCAGGTGACAGTATGTACCCTGTACCCAGCCTGAGAGGGACAGGACTGAGCAACAGAGAAGTTGACATTTCAGATTGGTGGTCAGCTCTGTGCAAAGGCCCTGCGGTAAGCATGGGAGAAACAGAGCTTGGGGCCAGCTGACCCGAGAGGCAAGAGGAAGCCCTGGAGTTCTGAGCTTTGGAGAGAGGGGAGCAGTGTGCTCTTCATGCCTTTTCCCAAACACTGTCCTCACAGCACAAGCCCTGCTGAGAACCATCTCCCCAAACAGGTCCCTCTCTACCTGTCCCTGTGCCACTTTCCCCAGTGACGCCCCACCCCAATCTGCACCCCGGCGATGCATCCTTTTGGAGCAGCCATGGTACCAGCTGGAGCCGGTGGGGAAACAGGAGAAAAAGTGGGAACAGCAGGCCGTGGAGAGTGTCTAAACACGGACTATTTGGGGACTGTCTTTTATTTTTAGTTTGAAATTGGTCCACCCTTCTGTACTGTAGAAACAGCAGCCAGGAGCCCACCAGTCACTGTCACTGGGAAAGGACCCCTCGGGGAGGGCGCAGTACCCAGCAGTCTGTGAAAACTGCGGAGCCTGGTTGGAGATGTCCACAGGACCTATGACCGCTTTCCACAGGCTTCAGAGACATGTCCAAGGACATCGGCTGGTCTGCTTCGATTCTCTTGATGATGTCCATGTGTCATTAGTGTCAATTAGGGGAAGATGAGAGCAAAGTGTTTCCCCGGGGACACAGGCTGGTAGGAGGGCCACTGGGACAATTGAATTCCCCACCAGACAAATGTGATTAGGTGCAGCCTAGCCCACCCCCACCAGCGGGGCATAAATGGCCCAGTGGGGCCAACACGGTCACCCTAGCCATGCAGGCTCACCCCAGCCGCCGCAGCTGCTGGGCCAGTCTCCCCAGCCCCAATGTACGAGAGGCAGCCTCCATGTATGGCACGGCTGTGGCCATCTTCCTGGTCATCCTGGTGGCCGCGTTGCAGGGCTCAGAACCCCCGGAGAATCCCTTCCCCTACCACATCCCCCTGGACCCTGAGGGAGTACTGGAACTTTCGTGGAACGTCAGCTACGTCCAGGAGACTATTCACTTCCAGTTGCAGGTGCGAGGGCTCAGGGCCGGGGTTCTGTTCGGGATGTCGGACCGCGGTGAGCTGGAGAACGCGGACTTCATCGTGCTCTGGACGGATGGAGACAATGCCTACTTTGCGGTGAGTCCTGCCCTGCCCTGTTATCCTGCCCTCAGCCCCAGCTGGCTGTCTTCCTACAACACTTCCATAAGCTACTGCCTTTGTGTTTGAGGTCATTCTGAGACAAGCCTGTGTCCCCCTTGAGCATCACATAAGGGGCACTAGAGGATGAAATGGGAAGTGGGTATTTCCTGGGGTCCTTGACTATCCCCCCCAAATAACAGATGCTGCAATCTCAAGGTAGGTATAGAACATGGAGTATTCATGTGCCACACAGTACCCCGTGCATGAACCCCTCCGTGTACCCCACTTTTATGAAGAGCACCACATGCCACACTGCCGATACATGCACACCTGCCGTGGGCCAGGTGGAGGCACACGGCTTAGTACAGTAGGCAACATGCACACCAGCCCAGGTTGTAACACACACAGACCTTCTGTGCTGTATTCAAGGGTGGTAGAAACAGGTGCAGAGCCCACTTCAGGTATAGAACAACCCCCACCCTCACCCCATGAGCAGGGCCAGCAGGATGTGCTGAGCTCCTTCCAGTCAAAATATAGCTTCGCCCTTACCTGCAAGGGTGGTATACGAGTGGGCGGTGTTCTTACAAACTGGAGCAGCCTTCAGCCCCCCACCCCAATAAACTATAGGGGTCAGCTGAGAAGGGAAAGATCCCAGTCTCTATGTTCTAGCTCTGCCTTCCTCCATAGATGGGCCTGGCCACCAGGGCCCCTCTGGTGATGAAACCCAACTCTCCATAGAGACAAGAGGGTCAAAGATTTTCCTTATCAAGCCAAAATGTGCCCCTTCATTCACTGGGTTAACCTCAGTTCATAGTAATCCTCCTGCCTCAGCCTCCCGAGTGCTGGGACTACTGGTGTGATCCACCATGCGTGACTAAGGTGTTTTTGGATCGAGCAGGGCATCTGGTTCCTCATCAACGTTTCAGGCTCTGAGTTCATAGTCTCGGTCACAGATGCTTCCAGAACTGAGCTGCTGCATCTGATTCCCACAGCCTGTCTGGGAAGCTGCTCTGCCCATTTCAATGGCCAGAGCCATTTGCTCAGGGTGACGGAGCAGAGCCTGCTGCACAGTGGCTCTGGAACCTTGTCTGAGTCTTGCAGAGGGGCCCTGTTCTGCTCCAGTCTAGGTAGTCCCGGAGGAAGAACTGGCCCTTTCCTGGACAGCTTTTCCCTGCCTGCGGCTCCCCTACGCCCCCAGCCAGGTGCTTCATTTTCCACCCCTGCCAGGTTCATTTGCACAACAAATTCCTCCAAACACAAATGTCAGTCAGAGCAGTGCGTTCAGCCAGTACACTCTAAAATTCTAGTAGAGCATCACCAGCTGCCTGTCCTGCTGCAAGTCTGCAGTTCCCAGCAGGAACCTTCTCCATGCAAGGCTGGGACTAGGATGAAGTAAGAGATGCCCAGGGTGCAGCCATTAGGGCAGCTCTTGCTTCTGTGTTATGCAAGTGTGTGGCGGGCACCTGAGAATGGACGTCACCTTAAATACTGGCTTACTCCTTCCTATCCTGTCCCCATGCTGTTCGCATGCCTCATCCTGGAGGACTAGGGGCAGTCTGGGTCCAAGGCCCTGTTCTTAAATTCCCAGTCCCAGTGTGCAATCCTAGCAGAAGGCTGTCACCCGGAAATCTGCGGGGCTAACAGTCCCTGGGAGTGTCAGGTAAGTCACCTGGCTCGTGTTTGACAGGTTCACAGACCTAAGAAAAAGGATGGGGGCACAGCTCCAGGCAGGGCAGCAATAGCAGGCCAGACAGGGGGCTAGAAACATGGCTCAAGGCTAGAGTGATTGCCTTGTGTACACCAGGTCCTAGGTTTGATCCCCTGCATTAAAAAATAGAACGGGGCAGAGAAGATCCAACAGGCAGTGAGGCTCTGCAGTTCCCACCCCACTGGGTGTATCCCATGGGGCTGCTGTCTAGGGGTAGGGGTAGTGGGTGTGAGCTTTGCCCTGTGTGTGGGATCCTTCCCACTTAGATCCTGAGTCTATCTCTGCAGGATGCATGGAGTGACCAGAAGGGACAGATCCATCTGGACACCCAGCAGGACTACCAGCTGCTCCAGGCCCAGAGGACCCTGGATGGCCTGTCGCTGCTCTTCAGGAGGCCCTTTGCCACCTGTGACCCCAAGGATTACCTTATTGAGGTAGGGGGCTCAGGCCAGAAGCACAGCCTGTCTGGACTATTCCTGCATCTTATAGTGCCGGGGGTCGGGTGGGCAGGAGGAGCAGGAGGAGGAGGAGCAGGAGGAGGAGGCCTCTCCCTCCCAGGGAGCCTGAGATAGGGCTTATGTACAGAGACAGAGTCAGGCATGGTGGCAGAGGGCCTCTGGGCAGGGAAAGCTGTTTGAGAGGGTCCAGTTTTGCTGGTAGCCCTCTGTGGTCATGTAGTCAACACACTCTCCAGATGGAAGTCTTGTCCCCAGCCCCCTCACTCTGGGATGTGTTTCTGTCCTGGTTCTATCACCCCATCAGGTGGAATTCTGGACACCTGACTTTTTACCCCACTTGGATGCTGACGTCTGAGGCTCAGGGCAGGCCTCTGTCTATTCCAGACTTCAGTCTATTGTCCCAGCTATAAAATGAAGATGTGAGCTACCAGATCCCCAACGTGGAAGGTGTGACTCTGTGTGGTTCCTGACCACAAAACAGCTACAAAACGTCTGGGCTTCTTAACTGCTCCAAGACCCTGGGTTAGGAAAAACCAGCCTACCGTGCCTTTGACGACAGAGCTCGTTCCATCTTCTAGCTTTGACCTGTGGATAATCCTTTCAAGTGGCAACAGCAGGGGCTGGCAGTCTGTGCCCAGGACTTAATTTATGGTGGTAGTTGAGACATACAGCGGAGGTGCTGGAGTCATGGAAAGAGACTTAGGAGCCACCATGGATTCAGGAAGCACCAGGCTCAGTTACTAGGCAGAAGTAGGACCTAGCCTGGGTAGGAAGCTCTCCTGGGGCCCGTGGGGCAAAGGCTGGGTCAAGTCTGGGAAGCATCTGTTTGAATAACTCTGGTAGATCTAGGCTGCAGGGTGGTCTTTGCTTACCAGTTCTGGCCCTGGAGTGATTTGGGGCAGGGGAGGTGCTGGCTTGAGGCATGAGGCTCCAATAATGAAACTGGTGGTGATTCTGGCTCACACTATGCCATAGGGTTTGGAAGATGATTTTACCCCGAGTAGGCAAGAGCTAAGTGACTTTGGCCTTTTGTTTAGCCTGATGATGTCAAACAGACAAATCCTGCATCTAAGAAAATAGTTGTTTTGATGGTCCTTTGCCAGATGCAGAAATTGAGACTAAGGGGGTGAGAGAACTACCCAGGAGCTCATGGAGCAGAGTGGGCAGAGCAAGTCCGCCGAGAATGGGTCATCTATGCTGAGTCCCCACCTTCCTGCCTGCGCCCCCCCTTCCCTGTGGGCAAGAGCAGGCAGAGAAGCTTTCAGAAGGATGCTAGAGGGCAGACCAGTGCTCACAAGCACTTTGGCCAAAAGCCTCTGGGCTGGTCATGGGGGCCTCTGTAAAGAACTTGCAAGAGGCTCTCTCTAAGTCCGTGGGGTTTCCTACCAGCCCTGAGTACACTGGCTGCCCACCATGAGCGCATCCCCACTGGTACCTGGGAGTGGCAGCAGATGTTCCCAGCACGACATCCACCCAAGGCCACTGTAGTCTGGTTTCCATCCATCCGTAGTAGCCTGTGAGGAAGCCACCCAGCCTGTGTGGGTTTGTCTGGGTCCTCCAGCACAGCGCCGACCCACAGAGCTCTCCACATCCACATGCACACCAGTGTCTGTGGGCTGGTGGAAACTCTCCCACAGCTCCCCATCAAGGGGCCCCAGGTTGGTTCCCTCACTTCCCAGGGGATCCTGGCCCCTCAGGTAGCCCAACCAGAGGAAATGACCTCCACTCTGCCCCCAGGGATCTTGGGGTTAGTGAAGGAACACTGGCCTGCCTCACAGTGGGACTGGTGGTGGTTGGCTGGATGGGTGGACAGGTACTAAGTGGATGCATAGAGAGGCAGCCTGGGGCCAGGCAGAGCCTCACAGTCCCCTCATTTGCCGAGCTGAGAGTGAGGTGCATCACCTGGTCGGAATGGGTGGGCAGGACCCACCTCCCTTAGCTCACCATTGGAGCTCATTCTGAGTGCTGAGTAGGTGATGGACTAGTCCTGTCTGCGCTACAGGATGGCACTGTCCACTTGGTGTATGGGATCCTGGAGGAACCGTTCCGGTCGCTGGAGGTCATCAATATCTCAGGCCTGCAGACGGGGCTGCAGCGTGTGCAGCTTCTAAAGACTGAGGTCCCCATCCCGGCCATGCCTGAGGACACACAGACCATGGTGATCCACGCCCCCAACATCCTCATCCCCGGCCAGGAGACCACATACTGGTGCTACATGACCAAGTTGCCCCGGGACTTCTCTCGTCACCACATCATCATGGTGCGTGGAGGTGTCCGCTACTCTGCCTTCTGCTGGGGGGCCCAGTCATCCCTGGGTCTAGAGCCACCCACTTGGCCTTCTTACTGAGGCATGGGCCTGACCTCCCCAGCACAGCACGTGTGTGCTGGTCCCCCTGCTCACTCTCTGCTTCAGGGCACTTGTGCTCCTGTCTTACCTGTCTGGAAAAGCAACAAGTCTTGATTTCTGTATTAACTTTCGAGGCTGCTGTCAATCTGTCGTTAGGCCCCCTCCCCTCATGTAAATCAGTTACTAAAGCTGCACCTAGAGATTTCATCTCCAGTGGTACTCAAGACCCGCTTGTCCCCGTTCTAGTGAAGGAAGCACATCCCAGAGAGACCACATGAGTGCCCAGAGTCACACAGCAAGGAGTAGCCTCCCTGTATAGCTGTGCTTCAGGCTTCTGCCTCCTGATGGAGCTTCAGGGTCCCAGAAGTCGCCCTCTGCACACAAGCGCAGCTGTGTTCCTAGCCCCACCATAGCAGGAATGGTCCACGTACGTCCCCCCTTTTTCCCCAGAGCGCATCGTGGACTCTGGTACATCCTGCCTCTATGTTGGTGGCTCTGTGGGGCCTTGAGGCTGCCTTACCACTTACAGTTGAGTGGTTGGGGACCAGCGGCCAGGGCCCCCAACAGAGCGGGAGGGTTACCAGGCGAGTACCAGACTCCCAGCTCAAGGTGGTCCGTTCCTCTGCAGTACGAGGCCATGGTCACGGAGGGCAATGAAGGCCTGGTGCATCACATGGAAGTGTTCCAATGCGCCGACGAGATCCCGAGCATCCCCCCTTACAATGGGCCCTGTGACTCCAAGATGAAGCCAGACCGCCTCAACTACTGCCGCCACGTGCTGGCCGCCTGGGCCCTCGGCGCCAAGGTACCTGTGTCTTGCAAATCTGCGTGTCTCCTTTCTGTTGCTGTGACAAACACCGTGGCCAACAGCAGCTTGGGGGAGGAAAGGACTTGGCTTACATTCCAGGTCACGGTCGTCATTGAGGGAAGTCAGGGCAGGAACTTGACGGCAGGCCTGCCTGCTCACCCACCCAGCCTTATCTCCCACCAAGGAACTCACTCACAGCCAAAGAGGTCTAGAAGGAACTCAGAGGATGCCACTTGCTGGCTGGTTCACAGGCTGGCTTATACTCAGCTCTCTCTCTCTCTCTCTCTCTCTCTCTCTCTCTCTCTCTCTCTCTTCTCTCTCTCTGTCTTGCTCTCTTTTTGGTGCATTTTGTATTGAATTTTTGTGTATTTCATACAGAACATCTTAAGCAATCTTATCTTTATACCCTCCCCATTGGCATCACCATGGGCCCAACTGGAATTCATACACTCTATCATTTGTGTTAGAGCCTATCGTGTCAAGTTAGTGTCCCCAGACATCCCTCAGTGCTAGAGTCCCTCCCTTTACGATGATCAGCTCTTCCTCACCCAGCAGTAATCAACTGCCAATAATTCTTCGAATAAGAATAGGGCTTGTTGCTGGGCGTGGTGGCACACCCCTTTAATGCCAGCACTTGGGAGGCAGAGGCAGGTGGATCTCTGTGAGTTCAAGGCCAGCCTGGTCTACATAGTGAGTTCCAGGACAGCTGGGGCTACAGAGAGACCCTGCCTCAAAAAAGACAAAAAAAAAATAGGGCTTGCTGTCCATTTCCATAGTTCTGTGCTGGGGTTTTGTCTGCTTGAGTTTGCGTGGGTCTTGCGCTTGCTGACACCATTGCTATAGGTTCATATGAGAAGGAGCCCAGGAGCCTGTAGGACTCTATTTCCATATGGTCACGCACCTCCTCCCTGGCTATTACAATCTTTCCACCCCCTCTTCAGCAATGTTCACTGAGCCCTGGGTGGGTGGGGTTTAATATAAGAGTCCTGTCCAAAGACACACACTCTGCAGATCCTTACTCTGCACGCTTTGGCCATCTGTGACCTTTTGTGGTCCTGGCCGTCTGTGCATGAGGGAGCTTCATTGATGAGAATTGAGAGATGCATTGGTGTTCTCTTATGATCTGTGAGCCTTGGGTGTAGAAGTTGCATCCTAGATGTGCCACTTAGGCTTGGGAAATGTGACCAGTTCTGGGATTCTGTGAGTTGACTCTCTTAAATAGTTCAGGACCTCCTGCCCAGAATGGTACCACCCACAATGGGCTGGGCCCTCCTATGTCAATTAACAATCAAGAAAGACCCCACAGAAATGCCCACAGGCCAATCTGATCTAGATAATTCCACAACTGAGAATTTTTTTTCAAATGACTCTAGGCTGTGTCAAATTCACAGTTAAAGCTCACCAGGACACCACTGCACCATCCCAGGCCCCCTGTGGCATCCACAGGATTCAAACTCCTTGCCCCCATTTCCCAAAAGCCACCTCTTGAAAAGCCCCAAGAAGAGGCTGATAAAGGGGCACATAGGCTCTGAATAGCCCCAGTTGCCTCTGAAATGCTTGCACTCCATTGTTCTTTGGGGCAATACAGGCTCTTTCTAGCCCCCTGAAAATGCACGTGACTGAGTGCGTATACCCCTCATAGGGTTACATGCACAGCATGTCACAGGGCTGCCCTTGACAGAACAACTTGTCAACAAGCTATGCCCCAAAGTCTCATTAGAGCTTCCCTCCAGGGTAGAGGATGGTCAGAGCGTGACTGGAGATGCCAGGAGAAAGCTCAGCGGGCTCAGGGACCTCCTGATAGGCCTCCATGTATCACAGCAGGGCTATTAGCCCCAGGAGAGTGCCCTTTTTATTTGACCACTCACCCATGTGACCCACTTCCACTCAGGTCCAATAGACAGGCACGTTTGTCCCAGGCCCCTGAGAGACCCTTGTCTGACACACCTGTCCCACACAGGCATTTTACTACCCAGAGGAAGCTGGCCTTGCCTTCGGGGGCCCGGGGTCTTCCCGGTATCTCCGACTGGAAGTTCACTATCACAACCCGCTGAGGATACAAGGTAAGGACACGGAGAGCACGTCCCCCAGCCCTGCTTCATTCTCCCAGAGGCCTTTGGGTACAACTTGTTAGGAAGGAAATTGGGCTCAGAGTGGAACCCACACCAAAGTCTCAACTTCCTTGCAGGACCCCTTGTAACCCTTCGCCCTCACCTGTCCCACATTCACTGTTTTCTCTGATGGCAAGTCTCCAGCAGGGCCCAATGGGCTCACTGCCCATCACTCAGCACAGCATAGTGGGGCCCAGCCTCACACCCATCCTCTCTGTCTGTAAGATACCAACTGCCACCCAGGGGGGGAGCTGTCCCAGATGCCACCCTCTGACCCCCCGCAACCAGGGACAGGCCAGGCAGAGGTTTTCTGTGTCCCCATTGTGCAGATGAAGAACAAGGCCTACAGGTGAACGGACCTCACTACAGTCCTGGAATGAGTCGGGCTTGAAGCTAGGAGACCTGACTTTGGTCCGTTTCAACCTTGCAGTCTCGCAGTGGGCCTAAGCCTACACTGAACCTGAAGACTTCTCCTGGTGACAAGTCACGGGACTGTTGGGTCAATCTGAGTCAACACGGCCCCTCCCTCTCACTATATGGCACCAACCGGAATGGGAGGCCAGTTTTAGGGTGTGCTAACCCAGAATCCAAGGCAGTGGAGAGAGGATGGAGCAGACCTGGGCACTGTTCACTGCAATCTAACTTGTGCAAGGCCACTCAGCCCATCATCCCTAATTGCTTCTCTTTCACTGTGACCCTCCAGCACCCCCAGCTGTGACTCTACCCTCCCCAGAACAGGCTGGGTCCAGACAGGGCACCTTGTGGAAGGAAGAGTGACAGGCTGTTGGGATGCATCTCTCTGGGCTGTCCTCAGGAATGGCAGGGCACTGGGTCCACTGGGAAATGCCTGACAGTAGCTTCTCCTCTTGGTGTTCAAAATGCTAAAGCGTGCATTGAGCATGAGTGTGTACACGGCAGTTCCTAGCCATGTATGTATATCAGGAGGGGCAGAGAGATGTTCCTGTAGTCTACCTTATTTCCCAGCCTAAGAGTCTATGCCTGGTCCCTCAGGCCAGTGCTATAATTGATTAGTGATGTCTGCCCTGAGCCCTGTGGGTAAGACTTGGCGCTGTGCTGTTTAGCACATGAACATTCAGTGAAGACAGATCTTCACAACCCTCAGGGGGTGGGCAGGATATCAGTTTCACCCCCCAGGGTACCACAACAGGCTTGGTCCTGAAGGCCAAGGGCCCTGTTTGTGGCCAGTCGGCTAGGAGCTGATGGCTCTGGACCAGATTCTCTTCCCAGCTCAAGTCCTGTCATGCATCCAGACAGCTGTCCAGGTTGTTCAGTTAGCTCAGGCGCGCCCAGGACAGGATCACACCTGCCTGCCCTTCCCTGTCCCCCTGCCTGGCTCACAGCCTTTCATTCAACAGGACTTTGATGAGGGCCTGCTGGGCTTGAGGTGCTGTGTGAGAGGGGACCTCAGGTGAACAAGACACATCCACACTGCAAAGAGCTTCTAGAAGGGAGATCTGACACACACAGAACGCAGGTGCACACACTGTGCACACAGATCTACATACACGCATGTGCACCCTCATAAATACACACAAGGGAAGGACAAGAATGTGTAAAAGGACTATGTCCCATGTGATGTGGGTGGCATTGTGTAGTATTTAATATGGCTCTTGGAGGGCTAGCACACTCTCAGGACAAGGTCAAGGGAAGTCCCTGGGTATGGCATTTCAGAGAGAGGGCACCGTCTGCTCATGGACAAACAGGCTATACGGTGGAGACGGTACTCCAGGAACACAGGTGGTCCGACCTGGCAGGGGGAAGGCAGGAGCTGGAGGCAGAGAGTGGTTGCTACCAGATGACCCCAGGCCTGAGGTGGACACCTGAGTGGGCCTTAAGGACGGGCTTGCCAACTGTCACTGCGTCTGAAACTAAACGTTTCCTTTCTCTCACATACCCCGACTTCCACCCAATGGTGCCATGTCTCTGTCTCCCTCTTCTCTCTCCCTCCTTCCCTCCCTGATCCCCTACCCCATTCTCTCTCGCCCTCCTTCCCCTTTTGAATGACTGTGCAGTTGGGGAGCAGAAACGGCTCAATAGATGGGGGTCACTGTGAGGCTGGAAGCTGCTCCTGCACCCAGCGTTCCCAGCTGGCCGTGGACGAGGGCTGTGCACGTCCAATGACGCCAGTGGCTTTCGTTCTGGCCGAATAAGCGATGATTCTGCTGCCAGAATTATCTACGGCTCGCAGGGGAAGGTGCGAGGCGGCTGGGGCTTGAGTGCCATAGGGGATTTATTGCTCATTTAAAACCTGAGAGCAAACGGGTTTTTGAAAACTCCTTAGGCATCAGGGAAGTCTGTCTTCCCTGATCATCTGCTTGTATTTATGGATCCTTTACCAAATATAAGGACATGCCTGTCACTTTGTGAATCTTGAGATGGGCTGCCTTCCTATAAATATCAAAATCCCACAATTACCTCATTATTTAATCCCCATTGGAATTTTAACCAATTGCTGCTCCTTTTTATTATTTGCCTCTGATGTCACCAGCCTGGAGATACAAGGGACTGTTTGAGTTTCGATGTTGAGGGGCTGAGGGGAAAGGGGAAAACAGGACAAGAGGAGGTGCCCTTGTTAACGAGCATAAGACGACCAGGGCCCCTAGCAATGCCCGGCACCCCCAGCCATCCGGCCCTGGGTTCGAGGCCCAGCTCAGTTGTTTCTCAGGCAGAGTCTTCACGAAAGTCTCCAGCTTCAGTTTCTCTATCTGTAAATGGGAACGATGGTCCTCACCATGAAAAACTCCCGTGGAGGTGACGGGTGGTCCGTGAGTACCTCCCTGTCCCACTCTCTCCTGGTTCCTCCCATCAGAAGTAGGGACCAGGCACATCATCCTCAAGGGGTTCCCTGGGGGCCATTGCTCACCAAGAGTCCCCTCCCTAGGCCGGCACGACTCCTCCGGCATCCGCCTGTACTACACGGCCACCCTCCGGAACTTCGACGCGGGCATCATGGAGCTGGGCCTGGTATACACACCAGTGATGGCCATCCCCCCTCAGGAGAATGCCTTCGTCCTGACCGGCTACTGCACGGACAAGTGCACTCAGCTGGTGAGTAGGCTGGGTTCCACACACCCTTGCTACAGGCACTGACCAGGGGAGGACAGCAAGAGGACTTTGGCCTCCTGACCTACAACCAAGGCTGTTCAAGCCTTTGCACCTCCCTTTGCAGCAAGAATAGTCAGTGCCCACATTCCAGCACTTCAGTTTTTTGAAATTTATTTATGTCTATGTGTGAGTATATGCTCCCTGTCCCCTTCACTGCATGACCCCCCACATCAATTTCCTCCCCTATATTTCCACATGCCCTCATAGGACATGGAAGTATGCTTTTGTTTTTAAGATGAACTTGAGGCATGGTTTCCAAATGGGGCTCACCCTCTCCAGGCTCCTAGCACGCCACAGTGTGGACTTTTACTCGGCACTTAACCAGACAGGACCAGGGGAAGAAGCAAAGTGCCCAGCAACTCTAAGGATGTGCACAAAACAGGGTAGAGCCGCAGGGTCGGGCAGATGGGGCCTTGGCTGCTGGAGTAACCAGGCAATGGCTCCTGACCTGTGCCGGTGACGCTCTGCTGGCCTCAGCCGGACCTCTAATTCGGTTTAACCACTTGCCTGGTGGCTCGGAGAGGGCGGGGATGGCCATCTTACAGGGCCCCACTGCCGAGGATTGGCCTGCAGTGCCTCCCCTCTTGAGAGTGGGCTGTGGACAGTTATGATGTTGCCTCTCTGACGATCTGTCAGGGAAAGTGTGAGCAGATCCGGATCATGGATGGGGAGACCGAGGCCTACCCCAAGGACACGAGGCCCCAAAGCAGCACTCAGGTGGCAAACTGCTTCGTAACGGGGTTCATAGTACACTTTGCTTCCCAGAAAATTCCTTGGGTGAGATTTTTTTCTCAGGAGTCCTGCCCACCCAAATCCCCAGTCTTTCAAGCCCTAGCTGGGGGTATTATCTTCAGGCGGAGGCCCTAGACTCCCCTTCTCTTACAGCCACTCAGCAGCTTGAGTCAGGATGAGAAATCACATGCCTAGCTGGAATCAGGCAAATCAGAACGGTCAAGCTGTCCGAGTTCTTCTTCCACAGAAGATGGCCCTCCTACCTCCTGTCACAAGCCAGCATCCCTGGCCAGCGGCTGCCTTCACTGTGAAGTTCTGGGGCCCCTTCATTAGCAGGAGGCCCTAGCCCAACATAGAAATTGTCACAAATGTGGTGATGACGACCCTTAATCTTCAAATCATTGAAAGAGGGACAAAGGACTCAACAAAGACGAGGGCTGACCGGTAGCTGGGTGGGGCAAGACGGAAGGGTCTGGAGTAAAGGAGGCATTGTAAAGCAGCCCAGGGTCATCCGCTGTCAGCCCCCAGCCCCGGGACGTCCAGGTTCCCACTGGCAGCATCAAGGGAAACAGCTGAGCGCGGCGGGTGTGGTGGCGTTTGATGCATCTGCGAAAACTATCTTCAGATGTGACCACGAGATTAGGATAGCTTCTGTTCTCCGGAAGATTCCCTCAGGCCTTCTTGAGGAAGTGAAGCCTTTTCAAACAGGGCTAGCTATCTGTTCTGTGGGGCGGGCTGCTGGCTTGGGCGGTTAGTGTTGTTGCTGTCAACCGGGGTCAGTGACATCAGAGAGAAGGCAGCCTCAGGCAGACGACATCAGTTGTGGGCAGGGTACTAGAGGCCTGTCTAGGTCCCAGCACGTGGTGGGTGTTGCAGAGCAGTGGATGGGGCACCCACAGAGCAGAGTGGCCTCATTCAGCCCACAGGGAACTGGCCTCAAAGGTCTGCTGGCTTTGGGGAAGGAGCACTCAGCCTTCAGGGGCCCCAGAGAGACCAAAAAGCAGGGGTGCCGCCTGCCCAGAATAGGCCCTGGCTTTCCTGCTGGGCGATGCTACTGCTTTGGAGTTACAGGTTTCTGACTGCCGTCTGCTCTTAAGCAAGCCCCTCCCCGCCAGGTTTACGATGGGGATCAGAGAGAACCATCTAGAAAAAGCAAATGTTTCGGTAAGCCAGGGAAGGAAGCCTTCAGTTCCTGTCCGGGCCAGTTCCCTCTGGGGTCTGACCCAGACTCTGTCTCCCATGCTGCCAACAGGCCCTGCCACGCTCGGGCATCCACATCTTTGCCTCACAGCTTCATACACACCTGACCGGGAGGAAGGTGGTTACGGTGCTGGCCCGGGACGGCCAAGAGAGGGAGGTCGTGAACAGAGACAACCACTACAGCCCTCACTTCCAGGTGGGCGCCTAATCACTCCCAGCATCCAGGGGTTTCTGTGTCTCAGGGTGGTCCTCTGGTCGTGGGTGGTGGACCCTGACCCAGGCAGCCCCCATGTTAGCAAGGTCTTGGTAGCTTTTGGCTTGATCTTACTCCCTTCTGGCTGGAGCCTACTCTTAGCCAGCCTGACACCCCTGGAGATTCTGAGACAGGGCTGGTACCATGAGGAGGCTCAGCTTCGGGGGAAGGACAAAGTGGCAGAAACGGGGTCCACGGTTCTATGACCTCTCCTCTCTTCCCCTCCCCAGGAGATCCGAATGTTGAAGAAGATTGTGTCTGTCTACCCGGTGAGTATCCACAGGGTGTCAGGGAAGCACGGTCCCCAGAAGGTGAGACTCAGAAAGAGCAGTGAGGCAGCAGAGTCCACAGGGTGGGCAGGGCTGGGTGAGAACGTAGGGACTTCATGGGGCATCAGAGGGAACACACAAGGGACACTGCCCTCCAGCCTCAGCCAAACCACAACCCTGAGAATATCATCCCCCAAGAGTGCTAGAGAGAGATGGGGAGCTGAGATGTGGTCCCTGCCTGTGCAGAGCTGAGCTGGAGTTGTGACATAGCTAGCCACTGATCCACTGACGGGTCATAGCCCCTCTAGAGGACACTCAGATTGTGAACCTAGGGGAGGGTTCTGGGCTCCTCATGGGAGGTCAGGCATCACACATAGTGGTGCGGTCACCACAGGGATGAGCTCAGTGCACCTGGCAGCCCTGTGTGGGCAGCTGGCTGATGTGCCTGTCCCTGCTCCCCAGGGGGATGTGCTCATCACTTCCTGTACCTACAACACAGAAGACAGGAACCTGGCCACAGTGGTAAGTCGCCCTGCCCTTCTCCAGTCTCCTGCTCAGGGGAGCAGGTGTCCCAGTGTCTGGTTGAGAATTTCTAAGAGGGTCCTGCAGCCAAGCTAGACACCTTGGCAGAGCGCAGGCAGCCAGAGGCCATCCTGCCTTCCCGGAATCAACCGGCTACTCTGAGTACGGTTCTGAACACATGACTTTACCGCCTCGCCGGAACTTGTCAACCAGGCAGCAGCCTGCGCTGGCCCTGCTGCGGTAGATATGTGATGACACTGGTGATGCACCTTCATGAGTGCCTCACCTGGGAGCCACTATTTTGGGTGCTCACTGGCACGTGTGTGCCTGGTATCTGGCGTGGGGAGGAACCAGGAGCCACTGTGGGGCCCAAAGTCCACGGAGGGAGACAGGCCTGCACCATCGGCTATGGGAAACAAACAACATAATGACAAAAAATTTAAAAGCAGACAGAGACAGAGGAGTGGGGAACAGGGGCTACAAAAGCTTGGCCGGGGCAGTGGCATCAACCAGAGATGACAGGGGAGTCCTCGGGGAGGATGGGCAAAGGCTTTGGCAGGGGGTCGTGCGCTGGAAGGCCCAGAGGACGAAGGTCTTTCTGGGGATTGGAAAGTGAAGATGTGGACGGCGCCAGGCAGGTGGGTGTGGCCAGCTGCTCCAGGGAAGGGACTGTGGACAGTCCCAGGGGCAGAGGCACCCAGTGGGAGGACCATTCTCAAAAGGAGGTGTGCAGGTGGCACCAACGGAGGGTGGCGGGAAATGTACCATGCAGCTGGGACACATTGGGCATTGGACAGAGAGAGGGATGCTTTCCAGGACTGTTCTGGGCTGGCAATGTCATCCAGCCATCCATCCTGCTGATCTTTTCATTCACCCTTGACTCACCCAGTGATTAACCCATTAATCACAAGGCTCAGAGTGAGGACACCCAGGACCTTGCCTCACCCTGGCACCTCCATGCCCCTGGAGCTCTGGTCCACACTGTGCTGCTTGTCTTGCCTTCAGCCCAGATCCACAGAGCCCCCACTACCCTTCATTGTACCCTCTAAATAGCTTTATTGCAAAAATAATTCACGGACCACACAGCCGAAGGGTGTAGCTTGTCTTAAAGCACGTTCACAGAACCGTGCAACCATCACTACAGTCAACATTAGGAAATCCCAAACCTGCAGCCACCATGCCCAGATCCCCTCACCCAGCCCACCAAACGCAGTTCTGCCTTCCACCCTAGGAATGCCCATTCTTGACATTTCTCATCAGCAGAATTACATGATATGTGACCTTCGGTGACTGGATTCTTTTCCTTAAAGTTTCCAAGATCTCTTTCTGTTGGAGCACATGGCACAGCATCCTTCCATTTTTTAAATTAATCTATTTATTTACTTATTGAGACAGGGTCTTTCTGTAGCCCCAACTGACCGGGAACTCTCTATGTAGACCAGGCTGGCCTTGATCTCACAGAGATCCACCTGCCTCTGCCTCTGGAGTGCTAGGATTAAAAGCATGCACCACCATGTCCAGCTCATCCTTCCATTTTAAAGGTATATGAAACACCAGCATCCTGGGCAACCATGTGAGTTAATTCCACCGTAGTTTCACACCATTTTCCAAGGCAAGCATTTTTTCCTGCACTTTCCAGGGGAGAAACAAAGTCTCAGAGAGGAAGGAACACTCCCAAAGTCACACAGCTGGTGAAGGCCTGCACTGTGACACCCTCCGTCCTTGCTTCCGGGTTAAGCCTGGCAACTGCTCTGGGTCGTAGTCACCAACTCAGGAGCAGCTCTGGCTTTGATGCCAGCAGTCCTTTGTTTATCAGGAGGAGGGTTCCGCCTATGACAGTCCCAATAGATGTCTTCTTACTGTACTGTTTAGCACTCACTGTGCCATGCTGGGCTTGCTGGGCCCTATGAGCAGCACACCAGGAGACATGGCCAGGTCTGACAACAACTGAGGTGCCCAGCTAACAGAGCAAGCTGCTGCCAAAGCAGGCCGCCCATGCCCAGTCCTGGTGGCAGCCCCGATGTACCCTGGGTAGGGAGCTCTTGGTGTAGTGAGCTCAACAGAGGCAGAGCCCAGCCAGGTAGAGGCCCCACAAGCATCACCCCTCTCCTGCAGGTGCCTCTGCTGGGGCCGGGGGAGGGGAGGCACTTGTCAGTCATTAGTGGAATGGAGGCCCTAGGCCCACCCTGCCCAAGCTGCTTCTGCCGGAACCACGTTCCTGTTCTGTCGGCTTCACGACAGGTAACAGGTGCCTTGTCCAGGGCTCTTTGAGGCCACTAGCCTATCGAGGGCTCAGGTCTTCAGGTCCAGCTGAGCGTGGTGGCACACACCTTTAATCTCAGTGCTCTGGAAGCAGTCAGCCGGATCTCTGTGAGATCAAGGACAGCCTGGTCTACATGGCACATTCTAGATCAGCTGGGGCTTCAGAGAGACCCTGTCTCAGAAAAAAAAACAAAAAAAAAAACAAATAAAAACACAGAAACATGGGGCTGGAGAGTTGGCTCAGCGGTTAAGAACATTGGCTGTTCTTGTAGAAGACCCAGGTTCAAATCCCAGCACCCACATGGCAGCTAACAACTGTCCGTAACTCCAGTTCCAGGGGAGCCAACAGCCTCTTCTGTCCTCCTCAGGCACTGCACGACACGGGTGCACTTACCTACATGCAGGCAATACACGCATACACATAAAATAAAAATAATAAATAAAATATTAAAAAAACACAAACAAACCCCAGGATCTGAAGTCCATGCCCCAGGGACAAAGTATCCTGCTGGGTATTTAGGGTTTCTGGAGCACGTGCCCTGGGGTAGCTGCCTCTGGGATCAGAGGGAGCGGCAGCTCCTGGCAGGCAGACCTGAGCTGCTTACCTCTGACAACCTGTGGATCCAAAGAGACAGGGGCCTTTGAAGCGCAGCTGTCCACTCTGTCCTCACACATTGGATGGTCTAGGGACTAGAAGCCAGTCTCTGGGCACTGTCCCCTCTGCAGCCCCAATGTGACTGGTGGCCAGTGTGCAATGTGAGGCCACAGGGCCTTGTCCTGTTCTCCCTGACACTCAGTTGTACCCATGAAACAGGAACAAGAAGACCCTGGTCCTTCCCATTTCTATTGTCCCCATATCTCTATCTGATGCATATTTACTGGGTCTTTGTCTTCCTCTCCGGCCATCTTCGGATGCCAAATCTCTACAAGCAGATAAACATGGGAACGAGGAGACTTGGGAAAGCCACTGGGGGACAGCACTTGAGAGGGAGAAGCTGAGGGCTGACGGGGTCTTCTTCCACCTGCAGGGAGGCTTTGGGATCCAAGAGGAGATGTGTGTCAACTACGTGCACTACTATCCCCAGACACGGCTGGAGCTTTGCAAAAGTGCAGTGGACGATGGCTTCCTACAGAAATATTTCCACCTGATGAACAGGTGAAGAGCTTATCCATGCTGTCTATCCCTGGGGAACCCAGCATGAACAACTGCCCTGTTAGGAGGCTAGGCGATCAGACGGAATTCAAAGTTAGTATATATAGCACCAGACCTCTGTGTCCTTCGAGGTGCCTGTGGCAGGCATCGCTAATCGATCTAACTCACAACCCAGCCCCAGAGCATCCATTACCAACAATCAATGGTGACATAAGAGATGGAGGCAGGGCCAGGACGCCTTAGGAGATGGATTGGGAAGGTGGACATTGGGGAGGAGCTGCTGGGTGTCCCTCCCTCTCCTGCACCCTTAAACAGCCATTCCCTAACCCTCCAGGTTCAACAGCAAGGAGGTCTGCACCTGCCCTCAGGCCTCTGTCTCCGAGCAGTTTGGCTCTATGCCCTGGAACTCCTTCAACCGTGAGGTGCTCAAGGCGCTGTACGGCTTTGCCCCCATCTCCATGCACTGTAACAAGTCTTCAGCTCTCCGCTTCCAGGTATGACCACAGGGGGTGTGCTGCAGATGTGACTCACACAGGCAGGCAGACAGACAGATGGACAACAGGGGGACAGGCCCACAACAGGATGGCCAGGGCGGCCAGGGCGGCCACCTCTCTGGGTCTCAGCCCTGTCTGAATGGCGTGTGAACAGACGCCAGCAGCCTCCCCGGGACCTAAAAATAAAGTGCTGGGCAGGGGAGGCGAGAAACCAGCAGTCTGTGACAACACGGGCTGGCTTCTCCCTCCTTATCTGAGGCCTGCTGGGATTTAAAAGCACCTAATTTATTCCCCAGTGGAGCCAGCCAGCCAGCCAGCAGCAGCGCCAGCCTAGAGCACCGGTCAGCAGACCTGGCCTGCTGAGTTAGGGAGGGGAGACAGGCGCTCAGCTCAGCAGAGCGGTGGGAACAGATCTTTCCTGGCAGTGTTTGGGAACTGGATTCTTTGCTGACCCAAACACCCACGCCAAAGGGAGTGCTGGCTCACCCCAGAGCAACACAGAATGCTGTTGGATATGGTCAGATCTTGGTCGGATCATCCCAGCCTGCACCCAGGGTTTCCCAATCCTTCCTCAGGGGACACAATGAAGTGGAGGGGTGGGCAGGGAGGCGGAGAGGCCTAGAGGGCTCTAGGTTCCTGACTAGGAAACCAAATAACTTGGGGAAGGGGGACTGTCTCCCCCCCCCCCCGCCCGGGCGGGGGGACCTTCAAGGAATGACTTGGAAGAAGGGGATGTTCATCTTGGGACGAGAGAGCCCCCAGCCTGGCCCTACAGCCTGTTTAACCTCCTGGTCTCATCTTGCAGGGCGAGTGGGATCTGCAACGCCTGCCCAAGATCACCTCCACACTGAAAGAGCCGACCCCACACTGCCCCGCTGGCCAGGCTCTGAACCCCGCTGCTCCCACCGTGGTCAGCATTGGCAGAGGCAGAGGCTAAGTAGGGGGCTGCTCCTCGCCTCCTCATGCAATTCTGTGGACTTGTACCAGCTCTGTACACCTCCTGTGTGAAGACCTCCATGGAACAGTGCTGTGTGCCCAAGAGGAAGGGGCAGGACCAAGCCCTTCCAGGAGTCACAGTGCCTCCTGCCCCGACACCCCTGCACGGCTAAGATGGTCCCGTGAGATCCCATTGGACAGGGCAGGCTGGGACCTCATCTGCCTCCTGCTGCCTCCACGTAGGGATAACCCATTATGGGGGTCCAGGTTCTGCACTGTTGGCCCCACCCTGCCTCCCAGGACAGCCAAGCCAGGCTGAGTACTACTGACTCCCCAACTCTACATTCCCACCATGTTGGCCCTCTGGTGGTGGTTCCTGTTTGCTGTGTGTGCGCCGTGACAGCACTATTTAAACTTCTCCTAGCAGAATGGCTCGTGTTTCCCAGTGGGCGGCTTCCCTGCGACGAGACAGGACAAGGCATTTAGCTAGTTAGAGACTCACCGGGGAATTTGCTCCACGGCAGAGTAAATAGATATTTTCGCCCACCTAGAGGGAAACACCATAAGTAGTTCCATCATGGAGAGCCAAGATGGCATGAACAGGCTGGCTCCTGGGTGCAGGCTCTGTGCAGAAATGGGATGATTAGGGCTGGTGGCTTCTTCTGGCGGTGGGTGTGGAACCAGTAATGATGGGCTAGGCTCTGGCATCAGGCACAGTGAAAGCCTGGTTTGGCTACTTAGTTAGGGTGTGACTAGAGTGGGCAACTTTGCTCCCTGACCTTCTCATCTGTAAAATGGGACAGCAACTTACCCTCTGTTGGTGCTGGCTGTGGACATCCCTTGGTGGCCAATGCTCCTGCCCCTGGCGCTAAATCTCCTACCTTGGGAAGTCTAGTCACCTCCACCGTCCCATCTCCGCCACCCCCCTCCCCCAGTCTTCTATCTAAGGGCTAGCTCAGCTCTTTGATGGCTTTGACTCTGTTCAGCCGGTTCAGCAAAATGCAGCCCACGTTCTCAGGCAGGGAGGGTGATGGATGGGCCTCGCATCCCCCAGCAGACATCAGCTAAGCGCTGCCTCCCCTTAGGCAAAGCATTTTATTACTGCTGAGCAAAGGCGCCCGGACTCTCTGCGCCCTGTTGTATGAATCACGGCTCTGGGCAGCTATAAGTCATGGGTGTAATCAGTATGAAATGCCAGGCCCCACAGCCCAAAGTGACACTCGGCCCTCCATCATCTTTACAGCCTTAGAGACGGGGAGGCAGGTGGTGCCCGTGGCTGTACCTTCCCTAGAGCAGCTCAGAACCCCAAGAGTACAAGGGGTTTCCTGACCTTCAACACAGTTGCTTTACCACCCCTACACCCCCATAGTATGTGAACTTAGAAACGGGAAAACTGAGGTTCACAGAGCAGCCCCTTGTCCAGGGACTGTGGGAGGACCACATTCAGGAATCACACCCAATTCCCAAACCCCCAACTTCTTGGACCCACAGCCCCCCTTCAGGGCTGGCCACGGTCCCCTCCTCTCAGGGTAGCTGTGGGCTCCTCCTGCAGAGAGGCTGTCTGTACCCTACCTACTTCTTGGCAATAGCCCCCGTCAGAGTGACCAGTGTGTCACTTGAGATGCACAAGGTCCCTACCACCTACAGGAACCTTTGAGAACCTGATGTGTCTCTTCCCCTGGACAGATGAGGAAGCTGAGGTTCAGAGACCTGGGGTTAGATGACAAGGTCCCCACGTGAGCTGTGGAGCCTGGAGGATCTGTGTGACGCCAGGATCTGGACTTCACAACCTCCATTTCCTTATTTTCCAAACAGAAATCCTGGGGGAGCTTGTGGGGATTGAACACAGGAAAAGGGGGTGCTCTGTCACTTACCAGGGTGATAGGCTGTTGTGACCACATCCTTCCCACTTGCTCTAAGCCAAAATGAGTCTCCAGGATCACCCCTCTTCTGAATGATTGGGGTGGTGGAGGGGTCTGAACGACCACCACTCTCACCTCTACTGAATAAGTTGCTTTCCCTCCCCATGGAGGAGGGGGCGCCCCAGCCTCCCAGGAGCCAACATTGCTAAGAAGTGCTAGAGGCCAAGGTATGGCGTACTCAGTCTATATAGTTTGAGAGGGCCTTGGGTGCAAGTGGGGTGTCCCCAAGCCAGGACTAGGGTCTGCCTGAGCTGATCCTGGGATGCCCCAGGGCCATGCCTTCTGGAAGCACCTGGCCTCAGGTGGTTATTAAATCTTTGTTTAGATGAATTAAAATGATAAATGTCAAGGTTGGGGGTGTAGTTCAGTCGGTAGAGCACTTACCTAGCATTCACAAAGCCCTGGGTTCCATTCCCAGTACCACATGAAACCAGGCTTGGTGGTACACACATGTAATCTTAGTACTTGGGGGTTAAGGCGGGAGGATCAGAAATTCAAGGTCATCTTTGACTACACAACAGAATTTGAGGCCAGCCTGGGTGATATGAGATAGTGTCTCAAAGGAGGGGCTGGGGTGGCTAGGAAGACAGCTCAGTGGGTAAAGCACTAGTCATTCAAGCATAAGGGTGGGAGTTTGATTCCCACAATTCATGTAAAAAGCTGGGCATGAGGGTCCATGCTGGTAATCCCAGCACTGGGGGGGAGGTGACAGGAGGATGCCTCGGGCTTCTTGGCCAGTCAGCCTAGCCTACCTAGGGAGTCTCAGGTCCCAGTGAGAGACCCTGTCTCAAAAAACAAGAATGATGCCAGAGGAATGGCACCCAAAGTTGACCCCTGGCCTCTACACACACATATGTGCATACACACACACACATACACACGCAATGCTAAGTGTGAAACCTGGTTTTCTTCTTGGTGGCACTGCCTCATGTCAGGGCTCGGCAGCTGACATGAGACAGTCACACAGCTTCTCATCACTGCAGAAAACTTGGAGGACCCACCTGGGGTGACAGACAGCTCAAGGTGAGCTCCAGGGGTCCAGTCTTCCCACCACGGGCTCCAAGCTCCCCACTCCCAAGCCCCTTCAGTAGGCTGAGCATGGCCGGCCCTCACCTTCACGGCTGCAGGGATTTCCCATGGGGGCACTTGGGGCAGGATGTGTCTTTGAGCCTAAGAACACCAACTACTTATGATGCAGAGGATAAAGGCCCCTTGAGGACCTGGTGCAGAATCAGTGGCATGCCACCAGTCTCAGCGATGTCCCTATGGACTTTCACACACCGGTGCAGAACAGTTTGGAGGCAGAGAGTCCTTGACTCGCCAGGTGTCTGAAGCTATCCCAGTTCCTGGCTGTCACCAAGACCTTCTCAGCAGTGGGAAGCCAGGGCCCCAGGCTCTTCTGCAAGGTGCCTTCTACTCACAGGTAGTGGTGCCATCCTTGGTGAAGAATCTGGAAGCTTCAGTGCCCAGGCAGCCCAAAGCCTGGTGTTCAGATGCTCAGCAAGCTTACAAGGGAGCTGCTTTGTAGCCAGCTCTGGGGGAGACCGAGGAGGAGACTGTAGGTAGCCAACAGTAGCAGGGGCCACGTGCTGGGGGTATTCCGGGCCATTTACCCTGACTGGAGCCACCACTGGCCAGGGGTGACTGGGTCAGTGGGAGGTCAGGGGGTACCCTGGTCATTTTGAATCTCAGCGGGATGGTCACCTAATGAACGAATGGGACAGCTTGCATCCTCTGCTGCCCTTCAAGGATGCCTGCCAGTGTCGGCCTCTCCCCACAACGCAGGGACAGCCTGATTTCCTCTAGAGGGTCTCAGCTCTGCTCTGCCTGTAGGCTCTGTCCAGCTCAGTCATCAGGGACCCAGAACCAGGCCACCTGGCCACCTACTCCCCCAGTCCCAGGAGTGACAGAGTAGGACCCAGGGCTGTCCTTGGCAAGCCCTCTGGCCTCTGTTCATGGGGGTGAGGTGAGGTGAGTGCTCAGATCCAGCCAGGCTAGGTGATGCTCCTGGGGACAGGGCAGAGTCCCCAAGGTAAGGCAGAGTGAGGGAACCCCATCTGTCTGTCTCCACTGAAGGCAGAGAAGCTGCAGCACTGTCAAGGCCATGCAGCTGATCAGGGCACCTCGGGACTGTGGCACGGGAGGGGTTCCTCTGTCCACCACCTGTCTGTCCTTCCTGCCTCTCTTTTGCCAAATGTTTCCGCCATTTTCTGGCCAGGCTGGAGTGATGTGGCCCTGTGCCAGCCTCATGCATCGGCCTCTGGGATGCAGGGAACTGGACATTCCACCATCAGGGCCTCAGTACTCACTGAGGGGAAACGGTACCTCACTCTACCAAGTGAGGTGGTGTACTGGACCCTCTGATGCAAGCATGCGAGCATTCTCTCTCTCTCTCTCTCTCTCTCTCTCTCTCTGTGCAGTGTACATGTTGCATGTGTGTGTGCACATTTGTGCACAATGGGTACGGGCCAGAGGTCAACATCGGGTGTCCGCCTCAATCTCTCCGTCTTATTTTTGGGGACAGGGTCTCTCACTGAACTTGGAGCTCACTGATTGGCTAGGCTGACTGGCCAACAAGCTCCGGGGAACTGTCTGTCTCCATTTCCCACCTCTAGTATTAGGGTTACCAAGTGTGCCATCGTGCCTGAGTTTTGCCTGGGTGCTAGGGATTTGAACTCGGGTCCTCAAGCTCACACAGCAGGCGCCTCACCTACTGAGACAGCGCCCCAGTCCCGAAGCAAGCAGCCCTACGACAGAGCAGCCAGCTGGGTGAGAAGGGCCTGCCCACCCCCACCCTCTGCAGTGACAAAGTTCCACTCAGGGGGAGCATCTGAACCCCAACACTGCTGTGCCTTACCAGGCCGTGAGGGTGCCGACCCGTCCCCTCCCGCCACCTCCAGCCACGCTCAGCTTCAGGCACCTTCAAAGCGGTTTTCCCATAATTCCTGGCAGGCGGTGCTTAGTCACGGTGGGGCTTGGTTTTCCAGAGCAGTCTTTGAAATGCAGCTGTGAAATGAGGTGTCTCTAGATCAGCAGTAGGGGCGGCCTGGCCTGAGGTCTCTGAGCCGCCCGGGTGCTGTTTTTTCTCTAGGCCGCCAGAAGCTCCAACAAGTAGGTGAGCTTGCGAGGCCCTTCCAGAGGCACGAGGGCCGTGCCGTGCAAGTGCAAGGGAGAGTCAGGAGGGTGTGGAAGATGCATGTGAAGGAATTAGACCTCCCTTGTCCTGAGCTGTCCCCAAGGACAGGCCGTGAGCTGCATGTGGTCACCGGCCCAACCCAGGGTCTTGACCAAAAACCACAGTATGAGGGAAACAGGCTGGACAGTCTAGGGAGCCACCTCTCCCCTCCCCACCTCTCCCCTCCCCACCTCTCCCCTCCCCTCCCCGCTCCTTCTCCCCTCTCTCTTCCCAATCCACTTTCCTCCCCCCCTCTCCCCTCCCCTTCCCTCCCATCTCCTCTCCTCCCTCCCTTCTCCTCTGGCTCCACAAAACCCATCTCA